CCATCCTCTTCTTGGTAAGTGGCATTGCTATTCTTGACTCTATTGCACATGTACCAGGAATGACGTTATATGGGTTTCATTCCATTTCCCTAGCGTGAGGAACTTGCCCACATTTTTCCTGGAGTAAAATTGGTAGCCCGACAAGTCTAAATACTTCGGATATCAGGCGCAAGGACACCGGTCCCCTGATCCTGGTAGGAGAGCCATTTGAAACATCGCCAAGCACGTATGACTGAAAGGCAACACAGGTGGGATATCATCAATCGCTACTAGTAGCGAACTAGAAGGATAACCAAATTGAAACCAGGGACACACAGTAACTCACAGGCAGGCAGCCATGCGTCAGTTTAGTTGAAACGGCTGAAGTAACATGACATGGCGCCTGACGAGAGGTCGATGTTCACACAAAGCCATGATTAGAGCCTGTCCTCATCGGGTAACGTGAGAACGAACAGGTGGGATAACTATTTTGCTGCAGTCGGAGCTTGTGGCGGGACTATATGTGGCAAATGTTTGTATTAAATATTTCCAATTGTTGCGTGCTTGTAGCTGATCTTCAGCCCAAACGAGGAAATTCTCTCTGGACATACCCACTAGTTACCGGCGTCGAATGTCAAGAGGACAAGCTAAAGAAGTGCCAAGCGCGGGAGTGGGCGCTTTTGTCTTCCTGATCGTCTCTGGCGTCATCCCCATCCGGCTGATATGAGAGCAAAGTCCCCTCTACCTTGGCAACGCAGCTGTTTTGGGGCGTGAACCAGGTATCTGGTACTCCGACGAAACTTTCCTGGCGAGCCACAGTGTTCCGGGGCTTCCCCAAGATTTCAAGGTATCGGTGACCCGGTATTTGCAGGCTGCCCAGGCGGCTCAGAGGTACCTTTACCTGGAACCACCGTCCGTGGCTGACTCAACCCAGGCATGGACTGCCCCAACCCGGCCAACTCAACACCTGCCTGAATCACGAATTCAGGACGTGTTAGTGCATAGGTATTCTATCCACCTAGGCATCTGTCTGTCTGCAGCCTTCTTCTCTCTCCTCTCACGGCCCGAATCTTCTTTCTTCTCCTTCATCTATTTTGACTTGTATCCTCTCTCGCCGTCGTGGTGTCGCCCATTGATACATACGAGTGCTACCTCCTATGGT